AAATCAGACTGTTGATATAGTGCATATCGGAGGAATCTTAAAAAAAGAACATTTGGAAATTTTGCGTGACAATGCAGTGCCGTCTGGTAAACGATTGATCGGACGAAATTTTATATTGCATAATAAATTATGCAAGAATTTTTAAATACCCGTTACCCTGGAAGATAGATCGGTCAAGGTGGCCCAATAAATTGGCCTTCTATCTCACCTGATCTTACACCCCCTGATTTTTATTTATGGAGCTACCTGAAAAATGTCGTTTATGCGCATAGGCCCACATCTTTTTTTTTTTTTTTTTCTTTTTCTTTACGTGAGGAAATGCGTTTACGCACGCCCCCTCATTATGAGGGGGTAGTGTGGGACTCGCCCCTTGATTTGATATCAAGGGTAATACCCACTAAAACCTCACGGTGGCCGGCCACGGCGCATTGGGGAGGGGCACCGGGATCTCTTACGAACGCTACCGGTGCCCCCCCCCCCCCCCGCGCCTCTCCCCCCAACGAAGGGAGGAGTGTCATCTCCGGTGGGGAGTGAATACCTCCCCACCTGACCGCGGGTGCCACAGCCCCCGGTCTCGCCTGTTCCTTTTAGTCGCCTCTTACGACAAGCAGGGATTACTGTGGGCGTATTCTGTTCCCCGACCACAGGGAAAGCATAGGCCCACATCTAGAGAAGACATGATGGAACGCATTCGTCGGACTTGCACTGCCATCCCCAGGCAAACTTTACTCAAAACTGTAGGCCACTTCCAAAGACGTTTACGCTTATGCTTACAAGAAAATGGGTGCACTTTCGAACAATTGATTCGTGGTTGACTGACCCAAGTGGACGGCATCGTGGAAGGCAAGGGGATTCACGATAATCAAGCACCCCATCGTGAGAGGCAACGGGACTCATGCTAATCAAGCACCTCAAAGGAAACAGTCCTTACTATGTCCACGACGTTGTTTCTGGGTTGTTGCATCCGGCCCTGTCGGTGCCCCTTTTCATCGACCTCGCATTGCGAATAGTTAAGATCAGATACTTTTAGGAATGCGCTTGACAAACGATTCGGATACCGTTTCTCGGGAACCGAATCGTGCGATCTGCAAATCAGCGAAATAGGCGTCAGCGCTCAACGCCAGCACATCCGCTGAACTTGGGACCCCTCCCGATTTCAACGGATGCCGAAGCGAAGGTTCTCGAACGCGGCTCGTGCCATGCGAGGATCAACTAATATATAAACCCGTGGACACGCCCCACGGCGCTCTTTTTTATTCCGCTGTCAGTACGTTCTCATCGTGGTGATTACCGAAATCTTGTAGTCGCGGACAGGTTAACTTCACGCGTTGCCGTTACCTACTAAAGTCCGACGTATAATTGGTTAAGATCACATCGAACCTTTATCGTCAATCGAACACGCACTCAGCGTCGCGCTTTGGTCGTCAAATACTAAATTATTGTAGTCACGGATAGAGTAAACGTACGCGCGCCGCGTCGCTGCCGAAGAAAGTCCGTTGTTAATTAGTAGAGACCCGTGTCGCGAGTGATAGTTGCCGACAAATAGATCCTTGCAACAGCACAGCCCTGGGACCACAACAGATAGCTGGTACAACCAAACTATAAGACCGACAAGCGGTAACGTACCTACATAATTGTATACTTGATTTTCCAAAACCAATATTGTAATATAAACTCGTTATTTTGTAACAATACATATTTATATGCTAAACCTTGAAAACAATCATTGCAATGCCGAATTGCTCTTTCCCGTTAGCGAATATAGTTAAGGTGAGCTTTAGCTCCTTAATTGAAGACTAAGATCCCAAGAAAGAGTCACAGATAAGCTGGGACGTAACAGGGTAACGCTAAGAGTAGGGAGCATGAGGCTGGATGCATGCTTTCCTGGCACTGGGGCAGTTGGTCGAGGTCACCATGCCTCTTCCACAAACCTCCAGGTCGGGTCAAAAACCACAACCTAGCTGATGTTCCCTTATACCAGGGAGGCGCTTCGGCGTCTTCCTGGGCAGGGAACTTCGGCGAAGTTGGCGGGCTGCGTCCGGTCAAGACCACTCATCGCGCCTCCTCGTGGGGCTCCTGGGTCTCCGCTTCAGCAGTCGGCGCTTGCTTGCGAGAACCGACTTGCTGGATGCGGAGGGCGAACGCAGTGAGCTGGCAACGGCACGGCTTTCTTGTTGACGACACGGCAAGAGAAAGGTAGTTCTGGGTACGGCGCCCACCTGCAATGGAGCGCCTTGACTCATGAATAATGGACAATAATGGTTTGAACGTTTACGGTGCAGAGGGTGTCGGATCCCTCAGTACCGGCGCGGTGAGGAGTAGTCGACCAGGCTCCCCCGCGTCGTTATCTTAGGACTGGGAGAACCCCGGGGTCGACCACCAGGCCCCTGGGTTCAGCAATGCGCCTCGTAGCGGTGGCGAGCGCCTCCGACGGCGACGCCGACTCTGATGAGTCGGCTAGCTCCGTCTGGTAGGGGCGCTCCCTCCAACCCGCGTCTAGGAGGAAACGGGGTCGCCCTCCTACCACAGAGGACCAGGTCGGCCTCGCGGAGGCGAAGCGTCTGACGCTTCGCGAGAGGGAGCCGGACCTGGCGATGGACGTCACGGGCACCTTCGTGTCCTCCGTCCCCATCTCCAGGTCCTGCTAGCCCCTCGAGGGCGAAGAGGAATTAGTCGCGGAGATGCGCCATGCCCCGACCGCTGAGTTGGGCTCTCGAATCTTTGAGAGCTCGGAGGCGGTCCTGAGGGTTGCTAGGTGCTCTAACAACCTTCAGGGACCGATGGTGCGCCAGCTGCGGATGGCAGCGGCCACCATAAGGCACGCCGCCATCGAGCAGTGTAAGCGTGCCAAAACCTCGATCCGGGAGGCGGAGCTCGAGCGGACGGTCGTGGAACTGAGGGCTCGTGTAACCGAGCTCGAGGCACGGCTGGCGCGGGGGCCGGACGCGGTTGCTCGTGTGTCGGCTGTGCCGCCGCCCGTCGCTCCACTGTTGTCGCGGGCAGCTCCCCCTTCGAGGCCGGGAGCGTCCTCCGCGGCTGCGTCGTGTTGGCCTGCGGCCTCAGGTCCTGCGCCCGCTGGTCCATCGCAGGGTTCTGCAACCGGTGCCGTGGGCGTAGAGGGCCTCATACGTCGCCTTTGCGGTGAGATAGAGGTGCGCCTCTCGGCGCGCCTAGGGGCGGTCTTGCTAGTGACCGCCGCGGAGCGTGCTCTTCCCCGGGTACCGCGAGCCGTGCCGGCTCCGCCTGCGCGGAACCCTGGCCCCTCCAGAGCGGGGAGTCCTCCTGGGGCGGGCAGCGGGTAGCCCGCGAAAAAGAGGAGGGGTGGCAAAAAGAGGAGCGGGATGGGGAAAGCGGGTGGGCCGCTGCCCCTCCCGCTCCTGCCTTGCCGGGCCGAGACCGGCCCCGTGCTGCTCCTGCTCCGGCTGCGTTCCAGGCGAGGCCTCCGCTCGCGCCTGTTGCGCCCTCTCTGCCGCGTCCGACACCCGAGACGTGGTCGAGAGGCGGCGCGCTCGCGCTCTCGCAGGGCCGGCCAGCCGGCGCTCCGGCTCCGGCCGAGCCGCAGGTTCGGCTGCCGCCGGCGCCGAAGACGGCGGCGGTGGCCCTTACTGTCGCCCTGGGAAGCGCAATGACCTATTCTGAGGTCATGGCGAAAGCGGTCGCCGAAGTGCGGTTACGGGATGTCGGCGTCGCCGGCATCCGATACCGCAAGGAGCAGACCGGGTCCTCCATTTCGGAGATACCGGGCCCGGACAGTGCTGCCGGGGTGGACCGTCTGGCCGGTCGCCTGGCGGAGCTTTTCGCCGGCACTGACGTGAGGGTGTCCAGGCCCGTTAAGTCCGCCGAGGCGCGGATTAGCGGCCTGGACGAATCCGTCACGGCCGACGGCGTGGCGGCGGCGACTACTGCCGTGACCGGGTGCCGGGTGGACGAGGTCCACACCGGCATCATCCGGCGTTCCGGGTCCGGGCTGGGCTCGGTCTGGCTCCGCTGCCCGGCGGCTGCCATGAGGGCCCTCCTGGCGACTGGCCGCCTACTGATAGGCTGGTCGTCCGCCAGGGTGGAGGCTCTTGCCGCACGTCCCCTCCGGTGCTTCAAGTGCCTGGAGCTTGGACACGTGCGGCAATCAAGATAAAAAATTAACTTCTGTATGGTGGCCCGGTTGGCTACCGACCCTCGGATTAGTTGCTAGCTTCAGGTCATGTAAGTGGTGACCTAATTGTCCACCCTGGGTTGACCTAAATGTGGTTTCAGTTTACGTAGTCGTAGGATTGACTGAGTGACTTCGGTGTTTCTCCTTGTAATTAACATTTAAGGGCCACGGGAAAAAAATTTTTTAAATATGGTTTCGAACGTAAAATTTTCCGCTCTTTCAAAATCCGAATTGAAAAATATAGGCTTCCATAAGAAAAACGCGATTTGACCTTCAATTAACCTTGAAAATTGATTTCAAGGTAACATCTGACTATACCAATCAGCGGCCTCCATTTTTTTGAGCAACCTTTGTCTAGGTCATTTTTTCCGTAGCGTGCAAAAAACCAGATATCTAGCTGGGTAGATTAAAATGGCCCACCGTGTATAATCTTATAATATTATATAATATTAGGTTAAGGAAAAAGTAATCCATTATTTCTCCGCTAGATGGTTGTAGTGATCTCGTAAAGTATTGGTCATACAACTTCGGGTTTGTACTCGTTCGGAAAGTGACATTCTGTACTACAAAAAATTCTTCTTTAGTTTTGTGATTGGTTGATTCAGTTGTGATTTATAGGGTGTCAAAAATGGAAGTTAACAAAGAGAAAATTCTGTACATTTTACAATTTTGCTTTGATAAAAGCGAAAATGGAAGGCAGGCGGCTGAAACTGTGAATGAACTTTATGGTTCGGATACTGTAACAGTTAATTACGTGCAATTTTGGTTTCGTCGATTCCGTTCCGGTGTTTTCGATGTTAAAGATGCACCTCGCACAGGTAGGCCCGTCGTCGAAAATGTCGATAAAATCATGGAAATGATCGAAGTAGACCGGCATGTTAGCTGCCGTAGCATCGCCCAGAAACTAAAGATCGACCATAAAACAGTTTTAAACCATCTCCATATAGCTGGATTAAAAAAGAAGCTCGATGTCTGGGTGCCACACGAATTGACGCAGAAAAACATAATGGATCGAATTTCCATTTGCGAAGCTTTGGCCAAACGGAACGAAATAGACCCATTTCTTAAACGGATGGTGACTGGGGATGAGAAATGGGTCACATACGATAATATTGTGAGAAAACGATCATGGTCAAAGCGCGGTGAAGCGTCTTAAACGGTGACCAAGCCAGGACTTACGGCCAGAAAAGTTCTTCTGTGCTTATAGTGGGACTGGAAAGGAATCATCCGCTACGAACTGCTTCCATATGGCCAAACACTAAATTCGGACCTCTACTGTCAACAATGGGACCGGTTGAAGGTAGCGATTGACGAGAAGCGACCAGAATTAGCCAACAGGAGAGGTGTTGTGTTCCATCAGAACAACGCCAGCCCACACACGTCTATAGTGACTCGCCAGAAACTCCGAGAGCTTGGTTGAGAAGTTTTAATGCATCCACCTTATAGTCCGGACCTGGCACCAAGCGATTACCATCTTTTTTTAGCCTTCCAAAACTTCCTTAGAGATAAGAAATTGGCATCCAGAGAAGATAGTGAAAATTACTTAGTCGACTTTTTCACCAATAGAGACCAGAGTTTTTATGAGAGAGGCATTATGAAATTACCTTCGAAATGGCAACAAATTATCGCACGAAACGGCGCATATTTGACTCAAATCGGACAATCTGAACCATGAAAAATAAAGACTTCAAATGAAGGTAAAAATAATGAATTACTTTTTCCCCAACCTAATATATACAGGGTGTCCCAAAAATGTTGGAGGTTCTTGAAAGGGGTGGTTCGAGAGGTGATTTGAAACAACTTTTTCCTTTGCAAAAATGTCCGATGGGGCTTCGTTAAGTAGATATTAATAAAAAAACTCGACTAATCAGAGCGCGCGGATACCGTTGGAGCGGCCGCGTCAATATCCTTCGATGCACTTCGCGTATGAGAGCGGCTACCTAGCGCGTAGCCATCGCTATCGCGGCCGCTCCAACAGTATACGCGCACTCTGATTGGTCAGTGTTTTCCGTTAATATCACCTCAACGAAGCCTTGGACAACAATTTCGCTAAGGAAAAAGTTGTTTCAAATCATCCCCTGAACTACCCTTTTCAAGAACCTTCAACATTTTTGTGACACCCTGTTGTTACATATACAGAAACTCTTCGTTTTTAGAAGCTCGCGTTCATTAATTTTATTTTATCTACCCTTCTGCAATTTGG